AGTAAAGTCTCACGTGTAAGACAGTACCCCCTATGTACAGGTTTTATGGCGTTTTGGCAAGTTACAGGGTCAAATATAGCACGCTACATTTGAAATTGAAATTCGCCAGATTGGTTACGTTGCCTTTGAGACTGTATAGTAGCCTGGGAATGAAATTTACACCCATAATGGCATACCATTTGCAATAGTAGACAACCCAAGGTATTGCAAATGGGGTATGTCCAGTCTTTTTTAGTAGCCATTTGGTCACAAACACTGGCCAAAGTTAGCGTTAGTATTTGTTTGTGTGTGAAAATGCAAAAAATGCCAATTTTGGCCAGTGTTTGTGACTAAGTGGCTACTAAAAAAGACTGGACATACCCTGTTTGCAATACCTTGGGTTGTCTACTATTGCAAATGGTATGCCATCATAGGGGTAATTTTCATTTTTGGGCTACCATAGGGTCTCAAACACAACGTACCCAATCTGGCGAATCTTAATGTGAAAAAAATGAAACACAAGCCTTATATTTGACACTGTAACTTTTGAAAACACCATAAAACCTGTACATGAGGGGTACTGTTGTACTCAGGAGACTTCGCTGAACACAAATATTTGTGTTTCAAAACAGTAAAAAGTATCACAGCAATAATATTGTCCGTGTAATGCTGTTTGTGCGTGAAAAATGCAAAAACGTCACTTTTACTGGCGATATCATCGTTGTAATACATTTTACTGTTTTGAAACACTAATATTTGTGTTCAGCGAAGTCTCCTGAGTAGAACAGTACCCCCCATGTACAGGTTTTATGGTGTCTTGGAAAGTTATAGGGTTACATATAGTGCTAGCAAATTAAATTCCCTTTACTTTCGGCATGGGTTGTCAGGCAGGTAATGCTAATTGTAATTAATTAAGATGCCTAATTATGTAAAAATATTACATAAATATATATGTAGAATTAATATATGTATATATATACGTATGTGTATATATATGTATATATCTATATAATTTAAAAAAAATATTTTTATTTATATATAGGTATATATATAGTGATATATACGTATATATTTATGTATATAGATATATTATTTTGTTCTACGTGTATTTTGATATATATATATATATATTAATTTCACAATACAGTTAGAATGAAATAACACACATCTATATATTTTATTATTTATTTTAAATTATTTTTTTAATTTTATTTTTTAACGTATTTACATTTTAATTTTTTTTATAATATATATAAATATATATATAACAATAATTATATATATATTTAATCAGTATCAGTCTACGTATAATTTGATATTAATATATATATATATAATTATATATATATTAATAGTAAAATACACCTAGACGGTGTACATGTGTGTATGTATATGTGTATATATATATACTTAGATCATATATATATAATATATATATGATCTAAGTATATATTATTATTTTTTTTACACCATTTATTTGTTTTAATTTTATTTTCAGCCAGCAGGGGGACCACCTGTCATTACAGGCAGCCCCCCTGCTGGCAATACAGAAGCCAGCTATCGCCGGCCATGTGCTTGTGGGGTCCTCGCAAGGACCCCACTCTCACATGGCCGGGGGACTTCGTGGAGGACGGAAGTGCCGCGGGGGGCTCCCTGGGAGTCCCCCACACCGCGATCGCGGCGTGGGACCGCCGGCGACCGGGTAAGTACCGAAAGACCGGAGGGCGTACTATTACGCCCGGCGGCGTTTAGAGCCGCCTATAATAGGGCGTAATAGTACACCCTCCGGTCTGAAGGGGTTAAACAGACCTGCTTGATGCTTTCTTGAAGCCTTGGCTCATGCTTGGGGGATGGGATAAGTCTGCAGTGCTGATGGTGTCGGTTGGAGTGTTTGGAGTCCTCGGCAAGCACTATGAGCATCAATTGGCGGAGGTACTCGGTCGGAGTTCCAGCGGGTCCGTCACAGAGGTGTTGGAAATGCAATAGTGCTAGAAATGCTGCTCTCAATTCTCGGATGTTTGAAGGTAAGCATTGTGTCTAAAGAGGCCAATTTTGCTTGGAAGAACTGATTATATTGGCTCCCCATCCGTACTGACTGGCATCTGTTGTGATAATCAACCAATTGACTCCCCTCAAACAAAATCCTCTGGAGATGTTTTTCCATTAGAGCCACCAAAGAAGCTTCTTTTTCAGCTGGATTGGAATATGAATTGACTTCTCTCACTCCCGTGAGCTGTCCTGAAATTCCTTAGGAAAAAAATGTGAAAGTGGACGGAGGTTCCATTGTGCCTGATGAGGTCTATGGTTGAGGAAAAGGTACCCAGGAGCCTCAAATTCTCTCGCCGAGGCTGAAGTCTTTAGACGGAAGCTCAGTATTCAATCCTGTAGGATGATCTTTCTTTTGTGTGTTAGAGACTTGACCTGTGTGTTGGTATTGCAGTTTGCTCCCAGGATTACCAGTTTTCTTGTTGGGTGTAACTGACTTTTCTTGTGGTTAATGAGCCACCCAAAACAGAGAGAGTCTCGAGGACTAGCTGTCAATGTTGTAGCATGGTCTTGAAGTCTGGTGCCACCACTAAGATGTCATTGAGGTAGTGGAAAATCGCAACACTTTCCTTCCTGAGAAGAGCAATAATGGTGACCAGAATTTGAGAATGTCTCTGGGACGTATTGATCACAAAGGGAAGAGCCATGAAATTGGAAGTTATTTTTTGTGACACAAAATCGGAGGTACTTCTGATGTTTGGCATCATGGAAATATGCATCCTTTAAATCCACTGATATTAATTAATCCTTGTGATGGACTACTGGAATGATGTAACGAATGGATTCCAAGAAAAATCTTATTTTTAAGGAAAAGTTTAGCTGATAGAGATCCAGTATAGGTCTTCATTTTCCTCCTAGTTTTTTTTTAACCAAAAATAGGGGAGAATAGAACCCTTGGAATGGTTCCTTTTCTGGCACTGGAATAATGACTTCTTCTTGACGAAGGGATCTTATATGAAGAGTTAAAACTTTTTTTGCCTGTTGGGAGGAAGCCTTGTTCTGATGAACCTTTGTGGAGGAGAAAAATCCTTTAACTCCAGATGATATCCTCCGGTGAATATAGATTTTACCCATGCATTCGGAATAACTTCCCATGCCCTCTGGAAGAAAGATAGATGTGTTCCTACTCGGGGGACCTGATGTAAGCCACCTTCAGAATTGCTTGTTGGAGCGAAAGGAAGAGGTTTGAGCCTTGTTCCTAGAAGAGTTAATGCTCTGACTGCTTCTCCAATTAGAAAGTCTTGTGTATTCTCCACCAGGTCTAAATGTTTTACTTTCCCTATAAGAACCTTGATCTCTGTATGGTAGACCATCATGCTGTGGTCTTTTCGGTCGTCTGTCTTGTAGAAGCATGACCTGTTTGATATCAGCAGCTTTTTTGATTGCTTCCTCTAAAGGTTTTCCAAAAAGCACCTCTCCCAAAAATGGAAGAGTACATAGATTATTCTTAGATGAAAGGTCCACTCCCAAGACTTTTTTTTTTTAATGGCTAAATTTTTATTTCACATTTTTATCACAAAATTTAAAAACAGATACAAAAATACAAAAACAGTAAATTAGACACATGCTAAATGGAGAGTTAAGGCTCTTTTCCTACTGATTTTGCATTCAATTCTCTTGAATCAATGTATTATATATAGAGTATATGTATATACTTGTCTCTTCATCTTTCTTACTTTCTTCTCTCCTCCCTTTTCTCCTCTTCTTCTTGATACATATAGTTAAATATACAGACTGTATTATTCATGAGGTTAAAGGTATCAAAAAAGACTTCCTAGCATGTGTAACATTTGAAGTCTAAATCTTATAAATATCGACACGAAACAAACAAAAAAAAAAGACTATTGATCCTAGGAATCCAGGGGGAGGATGGTGGGGGGAGGGGAGGAGGAGGGTGAAAGGCAGAGTTCTCTCTTCCTTGTATTATACAAAATTTATTAAATTTATTGAATCTTCCCATAAACCATTGTCTCTTGATTTTTTTATTGAT